GCGCACACCCGGCGCCGCCGGAATTCGCTGTGTTCGCTGGCACGGGCCTGGGGGAGGGGTGCACCCGGCCAGGAGGGTGCGTGGGTGTGGGGTGCGCTTGGAGGAAAGCCTGGAAAAGTGTGTGCTGGTTGAGCTAGGGTGAGTGTGCTTGCGCCGGCAGAGAAGTTACGATCAATCGATTGTGTTTGTGTGTGCGCGCGCGCCCCTGGTAGGTTTTGGGGGGCACCTGACAGATTGTAAGGGTGTGTGTGCGCCCCTAACAGAGGTTGTGAGTGTGCTGTACCTCTGACAGATTATGAATGCGTGCACTCATATGTTGTGTGTGCGTGCGCACCAACAGATTGTAAGGGTGTGAGTGCACCTAATAGAAAGCGAGTGCATATTTTCCTGACAGGCTGAGAGTTTTTGTGTGTACCTTGTGTGGAGGTCTGTGTATGCCTGACTGAGATCGTGGAGTGTGTGTGCAAGAGCGTGAGCATGCCCAGAAGCTGCATGTCTGTTCACTTCTGACAGAGTTTGTGTGTGTGCTTGTGTGCCTGTACCACCCGGTAGCCGACTGAATGTGTTGTGTCCCTCCCCTGGGAGGGTGTGTGTAAGTCCTCACACGGTGAGGTTGTATGTGCATCTGCATGCCTGACCACGAACTTGTGTGTGCCTGCCTTGTACAGACAGCGAGGCCATGTGCCTGGGTATATTTAGTTATCTGTGGGAGTTGTAGATTGTGTGTGGGAAGGAGGGACAGTGCTGAGCCATTCACTCTTCCCTTTAGGCTCTTGTCTCAGGGCCACCAGTCTGTTGAAGGACTTACAAGACTTGGCCAGTCCAGGGCCCCTTTTAGAAGCCAGCTGTAACTGGAACTCGGGGAACCCTTAGGGTGCTAGGAATGTCTCCTCCCAGAGAGCTGGCAGAGGACTCAGCCAGTAGTGTGCTGCTGTGCCTCATTTGGTTTTGGCACATTTTGGCCCATCACCCCTCGTTTTTCTTTGTATTTCTCCTCCACCCCCACATTAGTGTACTCTTCTCTCAGGTGTCCTGCTCATTGTGCCTCTAGTGTCCTGAGGTTTGGACAAACTTTATAGGGCCAAGTAATCTGGCTTGTTTTGTTCGCACTTTCTCCATGTAACTTGGGAACACCTGGATACACCAGGACCCCAGTGCCCTCTCCAGGCCTGACCTGGCCACAGCAGACTTCAGAGGACTCAGGTTTCTTTCCCTGTGCTTCCATCCTTGCTCTGCCAGGGACTGGGGAGTGCAGCCCTTACTAGGAAGTGAGGTGGGAGTGAGAGGAACACCCTACTACCTTTCTGCAAGCAGAGATCTTTGAGCAAGCCCACCAGGAAAAAGGAAGGACTCACTAGAGTAACTGAGATTGGGGATTTGTCAGTCATTTGTGCTCTGAATATTGTAACTTGTATACAACATCTGTAGACGTTTTCTTTTTATGTAAAATAAGGAATTCAAACTCCCAGGCAGTTTTCTGTGTCCTACAGATGAGCTAAAAAATTCTGCAAGAGGGTGCTCCTGATGAGTTCCATGTCTCTCTGGGGCCCAAGAGGGCAGCACCTCTGTGGTTTGGCCCTTCACCCAATAGGGGCTGAGAGGTCTTGGGCTGTGGCTGGGTGTGGTCCCTCAAAAAGGGTTTGATTGGAGGTGTCAAGGAGGTTTGCTGTCTGTGCTTCTGTCTGTGGATTGCTTTGTGTGATGTTCTGCCAGAGAGAATCCTTAGCTCTTGATTGTAGAGGTGTGGCATGGTACAGGGAAATGTTTGTCAGCGCCTCAGCCCTCCTGCTGCCTCCTCTTAACTCCAGAGTAGGCGCTTTGCCATATTTTCCTTTCCTGTAGCTGCTAAGATTTTTAAAGCAAAGAGACAGACTATCCAAAACTCAAACCATGTGTACATGTACCAGGACTGTTCTGTTCAACTTGTCTACATTTTATTTCATGGCAATCTTTTAATCTCTTTAACAGCCAGTTTTTTCAGTGTCATATTGATTGTTAACTGATTAGGAGAATTCTTTACCTGCTGCCCTGGGGTGGGTTGGCTAGCTAGTAGGTCTTTCTTCCTGCAGCATTAAAATCCTACTCAGTTAAGTTTTTCACTTTAAAAAGTGAAATATAATTTTGGTCATCTGTAGTGTGGCAGTAAACTTCACAGTCCAATTTTGAAATAACTTCTTCAGATTAGTAAAACACCAAACAGTTTCAGTGATGTTTCTAGCTTAAGTATGTTGATTTCTTCAGATAGGTACAATATATTTTACACAATTTTTAATGTAAATATTTAGTCATTCTGTTTTTAAATATTGAGGCTGGACTCTTTGAGAGTTTTTGTGGTAGGAAAGAAATTATTAATTTTAAATGTTTACTTGCATCGTTTATTCTGTAAAATAGGAATAATGGTGACCACCTCTAGGGTTTGCTGTGAAGGTTAAAAGAGATGTACACTGAGAACTGTGCCTGGCTCATGAATGTGTTACTATTCTGTGAGCCCTTTTTTGGTGTGCATTCATAAAGGAAGTACAGTGTATGGACTGTGAGTTAAATTATTCGGCACATTGCCACCTGATGTGCTTCACTCAGATGACTGTCACTGTCAGCCTAGCCTGTCATGCAGAGTTTATTTCTTACAGTTGTGTTTGATTTGGTTGACAGTGTAAAAGTGCAGAGATTAATATCCCCATAAATTTAACTCCACCTACTTTACTATCTGGAAATTTCTTTTTTGGGGGGGTACCAGGGATTGAACTCAGGTCCTTGCGCTTGCAAGGCAGGCCACCGAACCACTGAGCTGAATCCCTGGCCCTTGGAAATTTCTTCTTATAATCAGTAACAAAAGTCAAACGGTACAGTTGAAAAATAGACAAGAGCTATGAATAAGAAAGTTTGGAAATCTGAAAAGGCAGTGAATGTATGAAATGATGCTTAATTTCATACAAAACATTTTTTTGTGTAAGCTTGGTTAAATATTTAAATAATTGAAGATATTCAAAGTTGGTAAAGGTTTAGAAAATGGGTACTCTTAATAGACTTTTGTGTGCAAATACAATGTATACAGATTTTTAAAGAGCAATTCACTAAGGAACCAGGAATGTATTTGGTGGCAAGTAACAGAAAAACTAGACTTACTGCTGGTTAACCTAGTAGGAGTTTATTCTTGTCCTATAATAGGCAATCTGTGGTTACTATGCTTCTGGCTTCAATTCAGTACCTTCCTAATATTAGGGCCAATGTCACAGTGATTCTTCTTGGCTTTACTTCATGTTGTAACATGGCTGTAACCCCCTCCAACACTACAACTACCTTCAGGGCAGGAAAGAGTGATAGCGCCAATCATATCTCTCCCTTTTACCAAGAAAGCAAAAAATCAAAAAACAAACAAACAAAAAACACATAGCAACAACAATAAAAGACCCAAAACATTCCTAGGGATTCCCCAGAAAACTTTTGTTCATGTTAATTGGCTAGAATTGGGTAATGTGGCTTCCCTTAGCTATAAGCAAGGTGAGGAAAGTAAGTTTCCAGCTTTTCCAGCCTTTGTTGGAGGAGGCAGAAGAAGAGATTAGAAGTGTTAGGGATCAGGTATTGGTTCAGCCAATTCGCAGTGTTGGCTTTACTTTCAGAGCCCCACTTCTACTCTTAAATTTCTGTCCTAGAGCACTAACCTCAATTGAGCTCACAGAAACATGTATGAGGATTTTCATTGATGGCTGTGTGGTTAGCAGTAGCAAAAATTTGAACCATCCTGTGTCAGCAGCAGTCAGACTGAAGTACAGCACCGTTTTTCAGAATACTGCAAGACTGTTGAAAAGAATGAGTTAAAATAGATATAAGCATACTGACGTGTAAAATTCCAAGACATTTTTAAAGGGAAGAAAGAATTTGAAGAATGATGTAAACAGTATGATGCTATCTTTGTAAAAAATATCACATATGCATGAAACTATATAAATGTAGAAACACAAAAAAAGCAATCTGGAAGAAATACTCAGCTGACAATAGTGATTATCTCTGTGGAGAGGACTGGGTTGCGAA